ACAGACTTCTGTCAAATGTTTACTTTTAAGTCAGGTGATTTTTGTTTAAATTCGAGCAAATTTATTACAAACAATACTTAAAAGTTGCCCTAATACGGTTTGTGCAGGTCAGTTATGCGACAGGGGGACATTATGTGAGTGGCTCACCTTTGTGATAAGCCAGTTAAATATTTAAAATTTGTTAATGCAATTTTTATTATTAAAAATGGACATATGGTCCCGATCAGAAACTTAAAGAGCGTTATCGAAAACCACTAAATCAACATTTTTTTAGAATGACCGGAAGCTTGTGGGAAACTCGGGGGCGCGCAAAATTTACCACTCGCAAAGCAGGCGAAAAGCTAGCAGTGACGGAACGCGAATGATTTGATAATTCTAGCGTTCCAACCACTGCTACCTTTGCGCCTGCTTCACGAGTGGTGACTTTGGCGCGCCCCCGAGTTTCCCACCCGCTTCAAGTCGTTCTAAAAAGAGCTGATATGGCGGTTTTCGATGACGCCCTCTAAGTTTCTTATTAAAACCATATGTCTGCTTTCACTAATTAAAAAAGTTATCTAACAAATTTGAGTTACTTATCCGACTTATCACAAAGATCAGCCAACCACATAATGTCCCCTTGGCCGTATAACTCACCTGCGCAAACCGTATTAGTGCATCTTTTACGGAATTTCCGTAATAAATCTGGTCGAATTAAAAAAAAACCGCTATATCTAGTACGAAAAGCCTATATTACTGAAATTAGGGTTCATCAGCGCATGCATAATAATGATTGATCATAGTAATAATAAAAAAAGAACTCTGAGACAAGGGACAAAAGAGGTGACTTAGGTTGTCTTCTCTTTTTTCTCCCTAGTCTGAAGGTCGTTGTTTTTTTCCCGCGTCTATATTACATTGCTAATTCGTCTTTTGAAGACACTTTTGAATGTTAAGTTTTATTGACGAATTAATTACTAGATATAGCGGAACGTTTTCATCAAAGTCCAGGCATGCAGTTTTACTCAAGAGGTCGGTTTTCATTCAGTCATATTAGGGTCGCTCAAAAGAAAATACATACACGTAACTTGATTTCTATACTGTCCATTTTTGTCTCAATATACGTTGTTTATCGAGAACATAAGCTTTGTTCAATTAAGCTATGTTTTTAACATTTGCGAATGCCATGCTTTCAAGCTAGCTTGGTATTCCTTGTCTTTCCATTGTCTCCACAAGCCAAAGCGGTGTCGGTATTGCTGGTCGTGGAGGCAATGTTTCACTAATGGTTAGGAAAAAACTTGCAGCTCAATGCTAGAAGAATTCTGATGCGGGAATGAAATATTTTGAAGCGTTATCTTTGCTTGCGGATTGCAACATATCCTCTCTCTTTCGTAGACCGCCGGGTGGATGTACAACATTTTTTTTCCGAGACACATATCTCAGTTGCTAATGAGAACAAGTATAAAATTATGCTGGGGGAGATTTTAACATAAATATGTGTTGGATATCCTGATAAAAAGACGAATGGATCTCCTGTATAATGTCGGTGGTTGTAATATTGTCATTACGTCCCGCACGGGAATCACCTCTGATTCTTCAACATTGCTTGATCCACTTATCAGAAGTCTATTTATTTATCCAGGAGCAGCCATCTTCGATGGTTGCTGTTGGTGCAGGAAGGCGGTTCCACTCTCCACATTTGCGTGGTAAAAATGACTGAAATAAGCCATTAGTTCTGGAGAATGGATCTCCGACCTTATCAAAATGATCTACTCGAGATTAAATGCATTGAGACGGAAAATATGTTTGTCCCAAAGGTAGCTTGAGAAAAAGACAGAGTCTTAACTTTTTGCGGCGAGATGCTAGATATGATAAATCAATATTAAATTATGTGGTCCTTATGCTGGCTGTTTCATTGTAAAAGAGTACAAAAAAAAACGGAGATATTTGAAACCATTTCTACTGCGTAAATTAAGTTTTCTCTTTTAATTAACGATCCCAAACTTATTTTACACATTCAAGGATGAGGCGAGTTAGTGTTTTTTACAGTGTTAGTTTGAGAGACTAGGATGAATGATAAACGTTGGGTTGCTAATATGCAACATTCTCTTAGCGTTTTTAATTACATATGCAGTGTGAACGTTCCAAGACAGATTGGTATAAATATAAAGACCAACATCGTTATAAAGAAAAAAACATAAACATTGACATTGATTGATTGATAACACATTGCGGCGTCAAATGGCTGGTTGTCAATATAGTGAAGTGAGAATCCTTGAGTTATTCCGGGAAAAAGGAAATATTTATATTTGTTAATATTCACATCAATAAAACAAGTTTCACACAATAAAAATATAGGGTCAACATCAGATTGAAGATTTGTTAAGTGATCCTTTCAAATAATTTCCCTTAAAACTACGCTGTCGTTTGTGAACATGTGGATTCGAGGGGAGACGCCATAAGGTATATCGTTAATATAGATAAGAAAAAGTAGAGGACCAAGCACGGAACCTCGCGGTACACCGGAGCGAAAGCAGGTTATCTCAGAGTTTAGATTGTTAGCCGAAAAAACCTCTGAAGGATGAACCTAAAGATATTAAAGCCATGCTAAAAGTTTAGAGTCGAGGTTAAGTTGTAATATGTTAAGTAATAATTTGTGACATGCAGTATGGAACGCCTTTGGAATATCTAAAAAAATGCAATCGGCTAAAAAAGAGTGCTCGAGAATAACAGTTAGCTTATGCGTGAAGGATACCTGTTGTGTTTCGCATGAATAGGATTTTTGAAAGCCGTGTTCTGAAAATGTGGAAAACAAATCAGACTCACGAAAATTAGCCAAGTTCAAAAAAGTAATGTGCTCTAAGGTTTCCACATGCGATGCTGCTAAGAGAAGTAGGTCGAGAATTACATGGGGAATGCTTGTTACCTGATTTATGAAGTGAAATCACCTTCCCGACCTTCCGCTCAGCAGGAAGACAATTATTGTGGAGTGAACTAAAGTGGCGAAGCGGGCTAGTTGGTTCATGATATAAAATTTAAAAGCGCTAACAAAGACGAGGGCGAAAAGGAAGGCGAACAGGACGAGCGCTTACTCTCAACTGAACATTTATTTAAAGACAGCTAAAGCAAACAACCTCCGGCAAAAATACACTGAATGGCTTAGTGGCGTCACTCATCATCGTCAATAAAATCACTTTCTTTTTGAAGCTGAAAAATTGACGGCTGGCTCACGCAGCCTTCGGTGCCCTCCTTCTTTATAGCATGCGCTTCAAGCACTTCCCTTGCAGCTTTTTCACGAGCCCTCCACACGATCGTGGTATTTTGAAAGTTGGGCTGGCACAGACAGTCTCTGCAATGAAGAGCCAAGTGTCCTCCAGGTGTTGAGCGCAAAGCCAATTTTGGGCGCAGTGTAAGTTGGCCCAATCATGGCCACGGATTCAGGAAAACAGAACGACGCGCGCTTATGCAGCGTCAATCATGCTAAAAGATTTGTAGATTGTAACGTGGGCCTGGTGTACAGAATACCGCTGAGATGCGGTAGGGTGTATATCGGCCAAACAGGACGGTGCGTAAATGAGAGGATGCGCGAGCATGACCTGGCTTTGCGCTCAACACCTGGAGGACACTTGCCTCTTCATTGCAGAGACTGTCTGTGCCAGCCCAACTTTCAAAATACCACGATCGTGGGGAGGGCTTGTGAAAAAAACTGCAAGAGAAGTGCTTGAAGCGCATGCTATCAAGAAGGAGGGCACTGAAGGCTGCGTTAGCAAGCCGTCAATTTTTCTGCACCAAAAAGAGAGTGATTTTATTGACACGTGGTAATGAGTGACGCCACTGAGTGATTCAGTGTATTTTTGTCGGAGGTTGTTTGCTTTAGTTGTTTTTAAATAAATGTTTAGTTGAGAGTAAGCGCTCGTCCTGTTCGCCTTCCTTTTTTGTCCTCGTCTTTGTTAGCGCTTTTATATTTTATAACATTGTGAAGTGTATGTTGGAAAATCTTTGACAGTATAAAATAAAAATAACAATTAATAATTAGCAAAATCTCGGGGTTAATTAAATCGTAGTTAGGAGCGGGAGATGGCTTAAGAGTTCTAATCACTGTTTTCACACCAGTGGGCTCAATTAATTTCGAAGGCATGAAATATAGTCCCGTTGGTGAGGAGGTGGTAGCGAAACAGTTTCGGTTGCGGAAAAGTTACGCTTAACAAATGAAAGACGTTTACAAATCTCTGTAACGCGAGAGTAGAGTGCTGCTCTTGAAGAAAAGGAGGAATGCCCCCCTGCTGCTCCGTACCCTCTCCTCCTTCTCTCTTCCTCCTGTCTACCCCTCGTCCCCTCCTCCTCCGGAGGTCGTCCTCCTTTCCTCCTCCTCCCCTCCATCCTTCTCTCCTCCTCCGTAGGTGATGTCAATTTAAAGCAGTGTCGTACAGTTTATATCGAGTAGATTCTGTGCTAGCACCCTAAGTTGATGTAATTCTACATTGAGATGGACTTCTGGCGGAGTCTTGCACTAACGGCTTAAACCACCACCGGAGCATAACAGCGTTCTAGGGTACTTTTCTTACGAACCAAATGCGGCGCCATACGAGATTGCGCACTCTGCCGCCAGACTACATACACTCACATCGCGCGCGGAAAGCATGACGCCATTAAACGTCTGAGTTTCCCGTGAAGGCATAATGGAACGAAATGTCACGGGAATGGGGAACTGTGTCCACCATATTTAGAGAAAACCTTTCCCGCTAATTTAGTGATGGACATTCTAGACTACTTCTAGCATAAATATTTCCCTGGTCAATTTTGAGAGCCACTCCCACCTAATTAAGCAAATAATGGCTCCCGCTAAATTTGGCGAAGAATTTTTTCAGCCACAAAAGCCACGCAGCACCTAGGGGATCCGCTGCAAACCCTCGCCCATAGCGTCCTTCGCCGTAGAAGAGTTGGCAACATCCTTGACGGATGTTCATAGCAGCATGTTCATCCGTACAAAATCCCTGTCCACAGTAGTGTGTTTTCTTCTGACGCAGGCATGTGAACGACATTGACCTTTTTACGGGTGGTGTGTCGGAGTACTCTCTCCCCGGCGGCGTTGTGGGACCCACCTTCGGCTGCATCCTGGGCATCCAGTTCTGGAGACTCAAATACGGGGATCGCTACTACTTCGAGCACGGCGGCCAAGCCGGCTCCTTCACCCCAGGTGATGCAGCCTCGGCAGCCGCCGGGTCGTATGTGGACCTGCTCGGCTGTCTGGTCAACTATTTTAATTTTAAATGAAATTTATTTCGCCCATACATGCGATCATACGACGGGAGTCAAAATGCCACCATACATTAGATTCCTCAGGTCCACCCCCGTTTTCTCGTCAATGCAGGAAGAACAATAAGATAGCTTTATGATAACAAAATATATATTTTGAAAACGGAGACAAAAAGCCCGCAAACCTCCCAAGTTTAAAAAATACTCGTCTTTTTACAATTTCTAAACATCTAGTCGTGACCAATAAGTTAGGTAGCACACTGTTGATTTAAAGTGGCGTTGGAGTTTTAAGCTGCGAGATTTTTTCCTATGAAATTACGCAGAAAGGATGTGGAGCTTTATTAACATAGCAATGGCGCAGTGCCTTATGTGTTAGGGTATTTCATACACAAATATAAGAGTAAAAACAGAAATTTAAATTATATAAAATATAAATATTAAAGACAAGAAGAACATCTACGCCAACCACACACTTAAGTGAGCAAAAGGAATGTTTATTTCCGCGCACACAAAAATCACTCACTCACCAGGATCTAGGTTTAAATAACAACGGAGGATGGCCTTAGAGACAGGAGTCCGGCCTCTGGCTATGACAACCACGCTCGTGTCTTCTCTTTACCAAGCTTTGTTTCTCTCACAAGAGAAGGGGCTATTATCGCCACTCCTCATGTTTATAATTTTAATAGTTCTGGTCTCATAAATCTTATTTCACGCCTTGTCAAAGCAAGCGACAAAGATGCTACTTTTTTCGTTTTTTTTTTTTATTAGGACTGTGTCGATGATTTTACGCCCAAATTGCTGATGATGTGTTCCCAGAACCGTTCGGTTACCAAACTCAGGCGTGCACCCGACGCACTCCTTCGCAAGAACAGCGAAGGAATAAGTTGTGTGATCAGTTTTTGATGTTGTTTTAGTTTTGGTAATTTTTTTTGCCGACAATTGGGCTCTAATCTACTCATAGCTATAGATGAGAATTTTAATAATATATCCGGTTGAGCATGCACATATCATATTGATGTGTAAGAATTAATAATCAATAAGGACGGAACGGGGAGGGCTCATATTTTTCCTAAAGGCAGCTTGTCGTTCGCTCTCTTTTATTTTTGGTATTGCCATTCTCTACTTGCGTTATGCTAGATTAGAATCTTTACAAATCTAGGAAAACTTACCAAGCTATATCTAGATTATTACCCCATACTTCTGATGGTCCTATGCGGTCGTACACTTGAGTCCCTTTGGAAAAGAACCTGCAGAAAATGGTATTTACGCCAGCTACAGAGAGCACGTTTGTGTCACAAGCGTACCTGCAGAAGAAATGTTTCCCCTCGGATGTAGATTTGGCTGCAGGGAGGTTTTATGAGACCTCGAAGCTAGTGAACACTAACAACATGACTTATTGCAGCCCAGCTGACAGAACTGAGAAGGACAACCCTTTCGAAAATCATATGCGACAACAGCATCGGTCACCAATCAGCACAGAGATACGTCTTCAGGACCATCTCGGACAGGTGAGTGTGACGTTCAATGTACGGAATGTAAGCGTGACAATAGTGGACACCAAAAATGCTTAATGGAGTGCGATTGATTCGCATGCACTCGTTGGTAGTATAATTAATATTACCTACAACAAGAGTGACAATGACAAGATGCGTATGACCATGCAGCACCATTCTCAGTCAATTTAGGGCGACTGAATAGAACGTTTTCAAGCCTGAGGACCATCTAGGAGTTGCTGCGTAAATTCTCTGGGTCCGTGAGTGGCGAGACACCTAACATGAATTGAAATGGAGGGCAGCGTTCGGAATGAGCTCGGCTCAGCCAGTAACGAAAACGAGTGCTGCGTTTGCCGAGGGTACAATCACAACTCGATGTCGCTCGATGGGCTGTTCAAAAGGGTCTATTATTGCACCCCCCTAATACTCAGGAATTCAAGGAAGGGAGTCCACAAAATAGGTATTTGTCCAACCATGCCAATGTTTTCTCTTCGCTTGTGCACTCTCATAGTCAGGTTCGCACATGCGCGTTTGAGAAAGCTCGAGTTAATTGAGCTCCTTCTCAGCCACTTAAGACGAGAGAACATACTCGCACACTCGGGCCATCCATTATTTTGCCTTGGATTTCGTTCTAAATATGAATTTTTAGTATTAGACGTAGAATATGTAGAATCAATATTCTATATATTTGTAGATTTTTCGCGGGTTATTATTACCGTGGCTTCCAATATATTTAGAATCTTATAATATACTCGTGCCTATGCATAGTCCGTTGATTTCTCCTCACAAATTATACACAACCTTCATTCTATATTTGGTGACATGTTAATAACTCAGTGAGAAATGTCCCTGAGGGGGATTCATATCACTCCGACTGTCAATCACATCAAGTCGTTTCAGTCACGTCATCGACGTTCCAGCCTGGCTGATCCCATTGTACGACCAAACGTTCAAATATGGCGATGTCTACCTAGCAACAAAGCTCAAAAGACGCCGGTTTTAAGCTGCTATTTTCAGTCCTTTCTTATGGTCTGTACCTACCCAAGTTTATTTTAAAAAGTTGAGACTCTATCTGCTATAGCTTCTGGTACTTTGCGTTGACGTATGAACCAGTGCAGCGACGGTATAGCCAACAAAATGTTTGACGTGCGCCGCTGAGACAATGCACCAGAAGTAGTAACCTCTTCAGTGGATTTCTGTAACTGATCCCACCGCAATTTGCAGATTGAGGAAGGCGGTGCCTAAAAACTAAAATTTGTGGTGGTATAACTTTTCTTCGAACTAGTTTCCGTGGGAATACATGAAATGTTTGTGGGCATCACTGCCTACGGCTGCGTGCGAGTAGTATGACCACGATGACACGAAGCCGTACCCGGTGACTGCGGCGCTACGTTTCTCAAACGTGAAGGCGTTTGGGGTAACAGCCGTGTAATTCGACTTGGTGCTTCAGAAATTACCGCGACGCTGTGTAACTACTTCTGAAACGTTAGACAGGGTGTTCCCGATGTGGTTAAGGATGCCCAGCATACGCCAAGCGCCCGCGACGCCGCCAGACGAAGACACGATTTGGATTGCCGAGACCTTCTCAGCATATAAACGAATGCGCCTTAATGCTGATAACGACGCCAAAGAACTTGAAGTTCCTGATGTCTAGTGACCACTTGTCTTCGGTTGAGGGTGACGCCTGCCTTTAACAAGCGATGAAGGAATTTTCGTTGACGAAAGTCATGTTCTAAACCTGCCCTAATGAAAAGCAAAATGTCGAATATAATGTTGACAACCTGCGACTAGCTTCCAAGGATACGCGACATTTGATTTTCAAAGTATTCCGGTGCAGGCGTGATCCCAACCGGCACCTGACGAAATCAGCACCGGACAAACGCGGTTATAATGCTGGTACAGTTGTGGAACCCGAACAACAGCCTAACCCGGTAAAATGTGGATGTAGAGTGGAACTTATCGAAAATGGCTCCTCCAGGACCTGAATCATAGTTTCACGGTAGGTAGCACAAAACATTTCCGGATAACCGCCTAGCCGAGGCGGTTCAGGCTCACACAGTGCCTGTAGTTGTCCCGAGACCGCAGTGACGGCGATCAAGCGAGTTCATGAGTCTGTGGAGCTTTCAATAAGATAAGTCACACTCTTCACTCGAAACTTGTCTAGCTCCATCTTGACTTCATCACAGAGAAGAAGTGGAAGGCACAAGGTTACGCACAATAAGAGTGTCGCGTCTGGTTTACGTTGAACCGTGCGCACTTCAGGGAGCGTTCCAAGCGCTAAGAGTAAGCACTGGCTTTCCCTTTAGTGCTTGCCGTATAACTGAGGGTTTCGTTAGACATAAAAAAATCTCAAGGTGGTTGACATTCATACTGAGTCCCTCGCTAAGTTATGTCATATGTGATGGTTTAAGACTTTTAAACTTGACTTTGCAACTACCGTATTTTCCGCCAAAACAAAGTACGCAGGATCAAAATTTGCTTTAAAAACAAAGCTTCTTACGTTGTTTACGCCTGCTGCCTAATCGGAACAAAGAAAGTTTGTCGTTTGTTCATTGAGAAATACCTGCTTTTTTAGCTGATAAATAAAATTGAATGATGCATAAATCCTTAATAATAAAGACTTTCATTTAGAAAATACCGCCCTGTCTTGTTGTATTGCACGATCTGGAAAAGCAAATATTTCTTCAGTCTGCACTTGTAGATAGTCCGCGACATGTAAAATTTTTAGGCATGTATTGTAAGGAAAGTACGGTAGTGAGCATTCAGCAACGTTCCTCTTTGGTGATGATATCAGGATTTCTCGAGGAGTTCGACGTCGGACAAATCGCTTTTCCAAGAGGTGTCGTAATCATCCAGCCTGATGATGATAGAGTCCATGTGGACACTGGAAGCGCTGCCTTTCTTGAATTCTCCTTCCACCTCAACGACGTCTCACTCCACTGTTCCAGTTGTTCGTTGTGACCTTCGCAGCTTCTTCACTGTGTAGTTTCTTGACGTCCGCGAGTTTGAACGTATCATCCCACACAGCAACATTATTCTTTATTTGAGCCATGGTGATTTCAATGGTGTTGATATCACAGTTGTCGGTATGAGTTTTACCACAGTCCAGCCAGCGCTATCGGGATCAGCGTCAACACGGTACCTCACGAAACGTTGTTTTATTAATAAAACATTACCAAGGAGTCGTTTCTTCGACATCTTTGTAGCACCATTGAAGTGCTTTGGGCGATAGCCGCTTCTAAATTACTTCCTTACGGGAAACAGTCTTCGGCACCGCTTGCTCTCTCCGGGACTGGTAAGGAGCGTTGTACATAACGTGCACACACCCCTTGGGCATCTTCTCCAGGGCTACTGCAAACCAGCTCACAAAGCAGTTGCCGTCTTTTTTTTTTGTTGTTGTTTTATGATAATCCCCTCTTGTTGCCCACGAGTCATCCCGGCCACCATGAAAGAAGCCTTTCTTGCTGCCGATGTGGGTCACGATCAGGCGTTGGCCCTTCCCCGATGACTCTCTCAGACACGTCGTGAGTCCTCACATGGAGGCGTCGTGGCACGAAGTGACGGTTATGTGAACCATCAACCTTGATGTTGCGTACCCTGACCTTACAATGTCTGGTCCAGATAGGAACTCTTCCGATTTTCTTCTCTCTGTACCAAACTCGTACCTCTGCGGCCGCGCGAGGACGCCTTCTCGTTTGATCGAACAATAGTCTTTCTCCCTCTTCTTACGCCGGGAAACAATTTATCGGAGATGATGAGGCACCTAACAGGGCTCCAGTGAGGGAAGACTATCACTTGCGCGACATTCGGTTCCTATATTCGCGACCGCGGGAATATCGTTTCTCCGGAAGCATCGGTGTACGCACAACCTCAAAGCACACAACGCAAACGTGCCATGAATGATGCTGCTCCGCTTCTTATCATCACTTGCTGGACGATTCCAAGAAGATGTCGCCTAGCTTTCGTTGTTTGACTTCACCTCTTTCCCAATGTTGATTGCGGTCCGATCGCTGGCACAGAGCAGATCGCCGACATCCTTGCACGCGTCCTTCACAAATGGCTTTATGTGCCCACTCCGCAACTCAACACAAGCATTCTGATTCAGCAGCTGTTTTAGTTGCCGAGGATACGACCGGGCATTTTGTTCTTCTGGAAGGACTTGTGCCTTGGTATAGACGAATAGCCCTCATCGGGCTCGCACGACAAGGAACAATCGCATTCTGATGTTAACTCGTTGAGATATTTGACAGAAGGCGGAGATGCAAAACTGGCGTGCTGACTTGTAAAAACCCGAGAAGCGGAGATTTGCTGTGTTGACAAATTTATGACCATTGGTTTATGAAGACTATTAAACTAAAATAGATAATATCTTTTTATCTGAGAAAACTATACTACTCACATTTATTTTCACCAAACGGAATGTTTAATTTTGTTGTTGCCCTTGTTGCCCTATGCAAGGTATGCAATGATTTTTAATAGACGATACTTTTTTTCCTTAATACGAAACTCCTTTCAATGAACCTTCAACCTTATAGCCGTTTAAAGCTTCAGATGAAATTTTTAATGGCTTAACATTAAATTTTTGGGAAAGGATAGCGGCGTTTCTGGGAGACTATGTTCTGGACAGCGGAAGGGCCAAATAAGGCTCAGCGGGGCGGGATTATATTGATTTTTTGGCCTGTTACCGAGAATAGTTATACGCAAATCCGATCCTTCCCGATGCATGGCACCCGTTTGGAGTGTTTCCTCTCCTCGTAAGCGGTACGAGGGAATGCAACGGGCTCTAGCGCACCCAAACGCTATTGTGTGAGACAGCGTTACGAGTGGTGTATGCCTGTCCAGAAACACGCGCACAATTTAAGCTACCTTGAGTTATACCCAATTCGCATGGCAGCGTAAAGGCACCTTTGGCACAAGTACCTGTAGTAGAGGGAGCTGGAGATCGTGATCGACCGGCGCATAAAGGTCCCTTTCCCTACGGGAGGTCCTGTGCTAAACGGAACTCGCCAAGCTTTCTTTACAGCTACAGGGAGTAGCCTCGGGCCCACGAACTCAAAATAATATCGCAGATAGATAAATATATTTTGTTGAATGCATTATAACAAATTGAATACATATAAATAGCAAATTATCAAATCATTGTGAACAGAAATGTGATGGAATAATACATTGACAAAGAATGCATACTCCAGCTAGCGAGTAGCAGCGGCGGCACGCGGAAAACTCTGTTTCCTACGAACCCGAACGCGATGGAATACTGCGAACACTTTTTCGAGGTAGGCGAATCGTCCAACTCTCCCGCCCAGGACTTCAGTGAGAACTTTGCGAAATAATGGAGCTGCTAAACAGAAAAAGGTCACCCGCCTCACAATGGAAACTCGTAAACGCAGATGATTTAGGTCCAGTACGGCCAGAGGGTTCGGACATTTTAAAGCAAGACTGATTTAGGTGTGACCCTATACTAAGAAAAAAATAAAGTGCCGCAAAAGCGAATACACATAACATTTAGTTTGTAAATGTGATATTTCACACACAATAATCAAAAAGTGTGCGTCAACCCGATTTCGATGAATAATTGTTTATCACGTGCTCCTCTCACGGTTTAGCAGGAATGCAATCGACATCAACTTACAGTGCTTCGTTTATTTATCGTGTGATCAAGAACTCTGTTTCCTAAGGGTAAATTCAGCTGAGGGACCTACGTTAAAGGTACCTTTACGGTGCCGTGTGAATGGGGTATTAGACTGCAGTATCATTTGTTTTAATTCATCGAGCAATATTGACGGTAGGCTTAGGCAGGAAGCTTACGCGTGGATGCGAGTGTTCGCCAAAAGGTGACGCAGCAGTCGTTTCCGGTATGAGCTTTGACACCGAGAGCTCACGCAGCCCCCAGGTCCAATACATAAGAAGTAGAGGACCCGGATCGTATGAACACGTGTTCGTTCTACTGAAAAAGGTAAACTGTGCACAAATAACTCTTGGCTGACATCAATCTTCGAAGCCTGACTGACCAGGACTGTTCACTCGCCGGTGCAGCAATCCAGAGGTTCCATGCTCCAGCTTGCCTGTGATGAACATGGATGCCTGGATCGAGATCCCAGTCCGTTCGTAGTCCCCAGCCAGCGAGAGAGTTGTTCTCCGGACCTTCTGGCCTTCCCGTAGGGGTCTCCGGCACGACCACTGAGGGCCGCCGTGGCTCCGAGCGAGAGCAGCAACGCGCCCCGCGGCCCAAGCGGCGCGCCCGGCACCGCGTGCCAAACAGGGCCGAGCCCAATAAAGACTGCCGTTCTTCCTCTCCCCGTCTCTCTCCCTCGGCGATTCTTGTCATATTGTACGACGGGACTCCTGAAATCGAACAATTCCCGATGGCTTCTTCGGTTCTTTAACAGATAATGTGTTACTTATATCCTATGGCTGGTACCTCACCAATTCCCGTTTCCAGCAAGTCCTGATTGGACCGGTGCGAGCCGCACCCTGACGCAGGCCTCCTCACTGAGGGGACACGTCTGACAGCGGAACGTCATTTCCTGTTACTCCGGCGGCTCCCTTCACGTGACCGAACATGGATCGACGTGAGAAATACGCTATAGTCCTAGCAGGCGCTTAAAGGGGTACGGAAACCAAATTCTGGAGCTCATTTCTTTGTTTCAACACGACGCAGGTAGCAGCACAACCACAGAAACATAAATATTGCGCTACAAAACGCAAGAAAACATATTATAAAGTGAATTAAACGATAATCAAAAACCACCTGGTAGTTGGTTATGAAGCTTCAATGGAATGTCGTGATGACAACATGCCTCTGAAAGCAGCGCCGCAGCGGTATGTCCGCTCACTGGTATAGATTGCCTAGGCCTGAACGCAATACCGAGGCGTCTTGGTGGAAAGAGCCAAAACGAAGTGAGCCACCTTGGTTTCAGCTCTCGCGCGACGTGCAAACGCGTGCTTCGGTTGTTCTCAGGTTTGGTGCGCGTGCTGGCCCCGCGATCTCTACAGCCCTTGGGTACTTCGACAAAGCGAGATTGTAACGCGTTGACGCCTCCAAGTGGCAAAACTCGTCACTACGGTACGCTTGGTCGTCCGAGGCATGATGACGTCAAGACGTCTGCCGGATCTCCCGAGATGCATCGCGCTCCTCCATGGCTGATTTTGAAGCGATAGCCAAAATCGCGGCATTTAGAGCATAAAATATAGCCATCTGCTCAAAATACGACCGTGCGATTATTCATTACAGGCTTAGCTGATCATATTGAACTCATTTCTTGATGTTTTCTCTATATTTCAAGTTTCGATTCCGTATCCCTTTAAGACTGTTGGCTTCACAGTAAAGGCTGTGGTATGTGGTTAGGGGGCTTCAAACGTAAGCTTGGTGTATGTGGTGATAAGCCATTTTTTGAAGTTGACAACGAACACGTTTACTTTGTCTTTGATGTTCCGCACCTTCCCAAAACAACCAAGAGCAATCTCCAAGCCCACAAATTTTGCATTGGAAATGAGGTCATTGAGTGGTCTTTGATTGTTGAACTTTATTGTTCTATCCATGAGATGAGCTGGCGATTGGCTCCGAAGCTTACTGAGAGATATTTTTTCAAGAACCTTTCTGTAACATGGAAGAAAATTGTGCCCCACAGGTACTGAGTGCCAGAGCTGGCCAAATTACTCATATTTTGTAATTAAATTACATTACTAATTACTTTTCTGAAAATTGCTGAAATGTAATTAAATTACATTACAAATTACCACAGCCAGAAAGTAATTAATTACCATTACAAATTACTTTTAAAAGTAATGACATTACTTTCGCATTACTTTTGTATACTTTTAAATATAAAGGAGCTATTGATAACTTCCTTTTACAGATAACTTTATTTACATTATTTACACAGTTCATGGCACACAGCTAGAACTCTCTGTTGCATGTTTACCGATGGACAGAGGAACGCACGGGACTGATCCGTTTCCCACCCCAACCCGGACAACTATTTTTGGAGATGACTGAGGACCCTACGCGGATTATCTCTGGGAGGGGGGAGAACAATTGTCATTGTTCGCAAAATCGCGTCAAGGGCCGTTCCACCAGGGGCCTTAGTTCGACCTACTTCCCCTCCTTCGTTTCCCGAGAATGTCGAGCAGAAAAGCTCGAATGGAAGGCACTTACCGGCCCTATTTCTCACAGTGGAAGATAACACAGAGAGGGTACGCAGTATGCATCAGAAAAAGTAAGCGGAAACTTTCAAGACGGGCCAGAAAACGTCGAATGCAAAAGCGCAAAACATAGGTAGAGAATCGCGCTGAGCGGGTTTTCACAGTTCAAGAGAGTGGCAGAAAATGTCTAGCTGATAGCGGGCGCGAGAGTCGCACCAGCCGCATTAGCATCAGCAACATAGCGGTGGCCAAAGAGCGTTTTTTGGAAAGGTGTAGAGGAAAAAGAAAAAGTAAAATAAAAAGAAAAGCGCTCTTGTGTATTGTGGACACAAAAAATATGCCTGGTGCGAAAAAGTAATTAGGTAATTTAATTACAATTACCGTCGCTGTAGTAATTCATTACATTACTAAATTACCTGCTACAAAAAGTAATGAATTACATTACTAATTAATGGAACAAGTAATTAAATTACTGTAATTTCATTACAGTAATTGCATTACTGCCAGCTCTGCTGAGTGCCTCACTCTTTCTTGCAATCATATCCCTTGTTTATGCCAAGGAACTTCCTGAGGCAGCCATGGCTACAGCCTATTTCTGTGATAGGATGTGCATACTTTTTGATTCTCTAAATAGCTGAAAAATTCAAGAAGACAGGGCAGAATTTGCGTCATGCCATTCTGAAGGGAGAATATGAAATATTTTATTTTCTCCACCAGTAACTCGTATGGATTTCAGCATGGCAGTTCCAAAGTAGGAGGCAGCCGTAAGCTATCATTGGGTGGCAAGTTACTATAAAAAGTGTCCTCATGCTCTGGGATGAGCTTTCAAGCAGCCATGACTTTAAGTTCTTACTTACACGACGCCTGCAGCAAGACACACTTGAGAACGTTTTTGGAGCTATATACAGCAAATGCTGGGCTGCAACACAAACCCAAATGTGCATCAGTTCACCTCAGGACTAACACCTCTGGATAAAGAAACTGTTCAAACTGTCGGACAATGAAAACGTAGAGGATTACAAGGCTGACCGCCTAAAGGAGTTGCAAATATCTTCGCACCATGAAAGTTTAATTTCAGACATTGTGGAATGTCTTCCAATTGATAACTTCCCGCCACTAGAGGATATTTCTGAGCTGGCATCAGGCATCAGGTTTAACATAATTGATGACTCGTCCACTTTTTTATTACGTTTGCGGCTATTTGATCAAGCTTTTGCTTGAACAGACAACTTATAGCTGTGGCTGTTCTCAGCTGCTATCGGATGAGTCTAATAACTTGACCAGGCCTCACCAGTACTGTCTTGTTCCTAAAGCATACCACGTGTCTGGAAAATTCTTTGGGAACTTAGTAGCACCATCACAGGCTGCCTTTCATTTCATTCAGCAACTAGGAAATCACTTTCTTTCCATAATAAGGAGTGTGACACATGTTCGAGGAGTGTGTGCCGCCTTGTATAGCACACTTTGAGGTCTGGGTGGTTTTAGCCTTTGCCCAGAGGAGTAGCACAAATGGTTTTTAAACTTGTTTTGCAGAATACGCTTGTGTTGACATGTTTGATTTCTTAACCGGAATTTGGACAAAGTTCGGTTGCACTCTTCAGTGGCTAGTAAGAACGAGACAGGTTTAACTGTTAATAGTGTATTAACAGAGGCGGTTGCCAAACCAAAAACAAAAAGCGCTTATTAAGTGGGCGGTGCAGCTTGCTCTCCAAATATTTGTTTCCCCTGTTTCCAGCGAATGTGTATCACGGCTCCCTAACAAAAATATTTGTCCACTTTCTACAAAATTTCGATAGAAAATAGTGTATAGAGGCTAAAAATATTTGAAACAAAATATATCCACTTTTGTGTCCACTGTCCATTGTTTTTAGCCGCTTTTTTCTGAAGCTATATTTCTTTTCTGAACAATTTCGGGGAATGTTTAGGGAGGTTGAATCTTGTCAGATTTCGAATACAATTCTCATTGTTTGGTAATGGCTCGCCCGCAGTGAGTTTGAGGCTATGCAAATTGGTGTTTTTTTATATTTGCCGGAAATCGGGAATTTGTACTATCCGGCATGTGCTTCGCACTGTTATAATACTCTTATGACTGGTAATGATAGCGATGTCTTATTTATTTTTGGACTTACTTCCCGTACCCGAGTCGGCGTGAAAGTGAATGCATCATACAGCATGTTCTCCGTGGAAAGCTGTTGTTAACTTGGTTCCGCTAAGGATCTATTACGAAGTGTACGATATGCCGAAGTCCTTCATATTCATTTATTTTTGTGAGTATCGATCTCTTTCGTTTAAAACATACAGAGCTTCTGAAGTAAATCATGTATACATGAATGTGGTCCAATAAAATGTGTTCGAACCACTTACTGTTGTTGACCCCAAAATGCTCCACCAGCCAGGATTCAATGCGGCAATTGTGTAACTTCAATGCTTTACAATAGAAAAAGTACAAGACATATATATACTTCTGCTTTGTGAAGTAAGTTGAAATATTGTTTGACACATTTTGCACGGACTCTATCGTAAAAAATAAAGCAAAAGTGAGTCAATATTAAAAAAAAAAAAAAAAAAAAAAAAACTGCGGCTTCGGGAGTCAAGGAGCTAGAGGCGAGCGAGGCGGGGAGGAAAGAGAGAGAGAAGGGTACCGGAGAAGCAGAGCAGAAACGCCCAAACCGAAACCGAAACTAACTTGACCGGAAACGGAATCAGATTATACTTAATACCGCCCGCTAGGAGCGCTACCTGTCACTGGTCTATCTGGGCCGCTGGGGCCTATGGGAGTTTCCGCTCTTTACCTTGTGTATATTACTCTATGGCTCCCCCTCCTGCCTGCCAGTTCTCTCCGCGTGGTGGCGCGAGCGTAGATAAACATGGCGGCGCCCTGGAATTGGCGCGGACACTGGTCTATAGGCTCCGTGCGGACGTGTTTCAAAAAGACTGGTGGCGCCATCCGGTGGGCAAGAGAACTATTGGTACGTTCCCGTCGTTCTGCTCTCGCACGGCGCGGGCTTCGTCTTTGGTTTCGTTATGGCGTCCGCAGCATCGCGGCCGAAGGAACGTACGTCGACGCATTGCTGCGTGTACGACTGTCATAACAGCTACATCAACACAGCCGGGAAGCTCCCTGCCGTGAAGTTTTATCGATTTCCTGGCAA